AATTGGACAATCAGACGGGATAATCTACAATTGTATGGAAGTATTACGGGATGCCGTTCGTTGTACGCTAGATCCAGAGATGTGCCAAGACGACCCCCCGTCCGCAGCACATCATCTTTATCCAGAAATGGATTAAGAGGAAGTATTTCACTCTTAGACTCAATGCATTCTTTAGTTTTCAGTTTCGCGATTTCTGCTCCGTAATGTTGCTTCTGAGCAAGTTTAATCAGGCGAGTAGTCGTTGATTTAATTTCATTAGATGAGATTAAGCAAGATTCCGACTGAAAAGAAGCTTTTGTCTTCGGATGGGTTCTTTGAAAGAAACGCAATATATAAGATATCACCCTCAAAGCCCTCGGTAAACTAGAAAACCGTTCAAGAATGTCATTGATTTTGTCTGTCGATGTTGTTGCATGAACGTGCACCCTTTTTTCCTCAATGCTCGTGGTGAAGTCTGTCTCTTGGGTTGGCCATTTTTCCCTATTTTTTGTAGCCAAGAAGGTCCCTGCCACCACAAAGAATTTTTGACCAATTCGTTCGCCAGTATGCCTCTGCTTGCTAAATCTGCGGGATTCGTAGCTGAATCGACGTAAAGCCAGTTCAAGTTCCCTACTTTGTCTATGATTTTTGTAATTCGGTGGGCAACGAAGGTTGACCACGAACATGGGGGCTTGCGTATCCACGCCAGAACAATCGTCGAATCAGTCCACAGATGTATGTTTAGGTGGCCTAATTCAAGATTTTTGGTGATTGATTCGACTATTTCTGACAGTAATACCGCCCCGCAAAGTTCTAATCTAGGCAAGGAAATTGTTTTGACTGGCGCTACTCTAGTTTTTGCTAATAGCAGATTTACAAGTACTTTATCCTCTTTTTCCACGCGTAAGTAGACTGCGGCAGCGTACGCTTTTTCGGATGCGTCGCAGAAGCCGTGAATCTCTACCTTTTCCGTTGGTGAGAAAGATACCCAACGTGGTATCCTTATATTATTGATTTCCTGATAGTTTCTCGTGAAATTCTGCCATCTATCTAGTGTTGTTGGGGACACCGTCTCGTCCCAGTCTGTACCCTCTAACCATATGCTCTGCATAAGTATTTTCGCGACAATTTTCATTGGAGCTAGCCAACCTAACGGGTCAAAGAGTTTAGCGATGGCTGATAATATCGCTCTCTTCGTTGGATTGACGTTATCTTCTATTGGCTTGGCTATAAAATAAAATTGGTCGGAATGCGCGTTCCACCTTATACCTAGGGCTTTTACACTGCTTGTGTCCTCAAACTCTAAGAAATTTTCACTCAGCGGATGTGCTTTTGGTATGCCTTGCAATATTTTATTGCAATTCGATGTCCATTTTCTAAGTGGAAAACCAGCTGATTTTAAAACTGCGGAAATCTCATCCCTGGCTTTTATCGCGGAGTCAATAGTATGTCCTCCGGCAAGAACGTCGTCGACATACATACTTTTTCGTAAAATGTCCGAGGCTATAGGATGGAGGCTTTCTGAGTCATCAGCTAGCGGGAGCAATGTCCTTATCGCGAGATAAGGAGCACACTTTATACTGAAAGTAACCGTCTTTAGTTCGTAAATACTAATTGGTTCGTTTGGACACGTACGGAAAATTATTCGTTGGTACTTCGTTTGGTTGGCGTCTACAAGAATTTGCCTATACATCTTCTCAATATCGCTATTGAAGACGTATCTAAAAAGTCTCCAGCGGAGAGTCAACACTGGTAAATCAGACTGAAGCACTGGCCCTGGAAGAAGAATATCGTTCAGGCTGACACCATTGGCTGAAGACAACGAAGCATTGAAAACCACCCGAACCTTTGTCGTAGTACTATCTTCTTTTACCACAGCGTGATGTGGTAAATAGTAACTGTCGACTGCATCTGCTGACTGAATTGCATTAACTTTAGACATATGGCCCATTGTCTCGTATTCCATTATGACTTTGTTATATTCCCTCTGTAAGTCTGGATTTTTTCTAAGTCGAGTTTCGTTCTTGTAAAATTGAGAAAACGCGATTTTGAGTGATGGCTCTAAGTTTATATCAGCCGGGAACTCCGCCTTGAAAGGAAGCGACACGATGTACCTCCCATCTGGATTCCGCTGTGTTGTACGCTTGTAAAGCTCCTCAGCTGTTGCAGTTTTATCTCGTGGAAGATCCTCAAGTTCCCAAAAAGAGCTTAGCTGTTTGTCTAGGGCCACTTCATTGAAGAACGATACTCTATTATTGTTGGTTGGGTTGACTGCATCAGCACGACCAGTCAGTATCCAACCGAACACTGTTTCTTGTGCCAGAAGAGTACTAAGAACATTCTTCTTAATGCCACTCAAAATTATATGGGGATATATGTCCCCTCCCAAGACAAGATCGACTTGCTCATTTACATAAAACCTTTTATCTGCCAGGATGAGATCAGGAAAAGCTTGTTGTGTTAGTGCGCTAATGTCGCAAGTTGGCAAATTCCCGGTAAGAGTGGGTAGCACTAACACAATAGCATCAATTGAAATGAATGGGTCAATCGGTGACCGCAACTGTATAGAACACGCTTCTTTTACCTGTGCAGAAACCGTATTATTGATGCCCGAAACTTGAGCATGCATTTTCTTTGTGGGCAAGTTGATTCTGCGTCTGAGCCTCTCCGGAATGAAGGAACACTCAGAGCCAGAATCAATTAGAGCTCTAGCGGCATAATTGGTGCCATTATAATGAATAGTAACCCGAGCAGTGCCGAGTAAAACACCTTTGCTAGTATTAGCGTGATGTGATTGCACCTTTTTTACTTGGTTACTTTTCCCCTTTGAAGCTTGATTCCTCAATTGTGCCTGTCTGGAAGTCGATGGTAAATTGTCCGCAGGATTAGAAGTATTTTCCCTGGTAGCTGTTTTAGGCGGTGCTGTCTGATTGTGTAGGAGCGTATGGTGTCGAGAATGGCAATTGGCGCAGTTATAAGAACTCGTGCATTTCGACACCGAATGTCCGAAAGACAGACAGTTAAAACAGCTATTGTTCGTTTTTACAAAGGAGATTCTATCAGCTACAGACATCTTCAGAAATTTTGGGCACATATGAATTCTATGCTCGTTGCTTTGGCACATTTTGCACATGTATTTGGCGACACTAGTTTGAAAAACGCCAAGTTTCTTGTGAGAGGGTTCAGAGGAATGCTTATGACTTGGCACTTTTGAAAACTTCGAAGTCTTGATTCCTCTTAAACCTGAAACCGATTCTAACGTTTGAAACCTGCTTGAAAGGAATCGGTCCATATCTGACCACTTGGATATTTCTGTTTTATTTTCTACCGATTGTTCCCACAGCGAAAGGGTTTCCTCAGGTAGTTTAGTAGAACACAGATACGTAATAATAGGGTCCCAGTTTGAAATGTCAATCTGGTGACTCTCTAGGGATGATATATAATTATTAATATCCCTTTGTAATCTCTTTATTGAGCTTCCACATTCGCTATCAACTGTATTCAAGTTGAAGAGAATCTTCAACTGAGTGTTAACTAGGATCCTCTTATTTTCGTATCTATCGCAAAGATTCTTCCAGGCTGTGTTAAAGCCTTCATTCGTCAAGTCGCATTTCTTGACAATTTCTTTGGCTTCACCCTGCGTATTCTGATTCAGATAATAAAGCTTCTGTATGGGTGTAAGCCGTTTGTTCAAGATATAAATTGCCGTGAACATGTCACGAAAAGTTGGCCACGACAGATAGTCACCTTTAAAAACGTCAATATCGCAAGGTGGAAGATGCAAACTATGCGAAGCGAGTGACATCTCTTCACTTTCCTTTTCTGATTTTTCCAACTGCATAGCAGATCTTATTTTTCTTTCTTATAGCGCTAACATCTTTAGCACTAGTTGATTCGGTAGTCAGAACTTCGTCAAAGAGTGCTTTGGCTTTCTCCCACAGTACACTAAGCTCGCTTTGCTGAATTTTCAGCGAATGTTTGGTGTGCTCACCTGTGGGAGTGCTCAGAAATTCTGTATCAAATTCAATGACCGAATCTGCTAACCGGGTGTATGTTTCCATTTTATTTAATTTTTTCACTTATTTGCGAAATAACAACTTCACAAGAAATTTTTGGAAGTATCGCTATGAGAGACTGACTCAAAAGAAGCCGATTTTCCAACCGTAAAGGTAGCACACGAAGAAAATCCTATGTCAAGGTAACCCAAAACTATATACCCAATGTATATAAGCAGAATGTACCACCAAAATACCACCAATTCAACCACAAAGTAATAAAAATTCTCTAATTTTCCTTTAAATTGTATCTGTAAGCTTTCTATGTTTATTAACACCGATTTAGCAATATAAATGCGTTTTAAGTATACGTATGTATGTATGTTTGTTTGTTCACAAGAAATTGCTCGCCAACCAAACCAGTGAGATCTGTATATGTATGTATGTGTATATATTCTTATGTACAAGCGCTTTATACGAAAGTGCAAATAAATAATGAATATGGAAAAACACACCACTTAACTAATTAGAAATAGTGCCAAAATTTGTATTGGTTTTTAATAAATTAAATGAAAACGCGAGTGATTTTGTGAAAAGGAAATATTGCAAGTACCAAAGTTCGGTGCAGTGAAAAGTTTGGTTATGTAAACCGAATACAAGTGCAGTGTTGTTGTTGGTAAATTTCGGTACTAAAATGCAAGTCACCATGGAAAATATGATTAACAAAAATTAAACTATTTGAATTAATCACCGTAAAGAAACTTCTTGCAAATTGTTTCGCGATAATTCCAAAGGAAAACAAAACACTGCCTTTTTTTTTATGCCCGATCACACTTGTTTAATATTTAAATGGCTTTAGCGCCCACAAATGTATGTACATATATATGTGCGTGTGTGTGTGTCACTTAGCACTTCGGTTGCGCTTAAAACTTCAATATTTCACAAAATCACTCGCGATTTCTTAATTATTAACCAAAGAAATGCTACACAAGATAATCTAAGTGCAGTGAAATTTGACCCACGTACCTTTAATTTAAAAAATTGATGACTTTATTTATTTAACAGGTGTCGGTGTTCGTGTGTGTGTTTTTGCTGTTGATGCTGGTAGCTCCTGTGGTTGCTTTGTGCAAAAATTTTGTAGCTGCTGCTGCAATGTACGGCTGCTTCAGATAGGCTCAAATTGGATAGGCTCAAATTGGAAATCCTCGGATTGGCTCAAAAAGCTGGGCGCTGGCAAGTGGAAGTTCAAATGTTACGGCGTTGAAGGACCAGTATGTTAAACCGGCACAACGCTTGGACAAAGTTGTGGCCGATTTAATTTATTGGAATGAAAAACAAAGCAAAACGTTTGTATTAATATTTAATATAAATTGTTGTTTATTCAAAAATAGATAAATTGGTATTAATATATATGCATATATGTTGGTTGTACAGGTTACCTTTTATTGATACGGGAACACGGTGGCTGGAACACGTCCTCTTGACTTCACTCTCGGAAAACAAGTAAGTGACCGGTTTAAATTTCTTCTTACTGTTGCCTGTCGAACTGTATATTTACCGAAGGGACATTTTAGCATAAGTAACATAGTGGTAAACAGTTCGACAGTTGACATAATAATGAAGTTATGTTAAGCATTAGGGTGGGTCGAAAATGCTGCGACAAATTTAGGCCATTGGCCTAAACAAATATTGTAAAAAAACTAGTTTATTTTTACTGAGTAACTTTTCTGACGGAAAAAAAATTTGACAGAGAAATTTCGACAGTGTGTGCAAAACTTTTTTTTCACTCTTTCTGCCAATTTTTTTTTTTAATTTATTTCATACTTTAGCAAAAAACAAAAATTTAATTTCATAACTTTGTACAAAACTCAAGAAAATTCAATAAATTTTCATTCAAATACTAAACTTTTAATTCTTATTTTTTAGGTATAGTAAGTAAAAAAAGTGAAATTTTGAAGGTTTTCTGACGATGTATGCATGCATACACTTGAGCTGAGCTGATTAAGTTAAGGGATATTTTGACCAGTTTGCGCTATTTTACAACGCTTTTATCAACTTGCAATGTTGTGTGTCCAGACACCCTTCATTGCTATAAAACCTTTGCTTTCCAAAGATCCTGTAAAAAAGTCTAGTGCAACAGACGGTTGAGAGGTAGATGTCGCCCTATGCACTGCGTACGCTACAGCGGAAATGGATGACACGCCATTTCTTTAAATGAAATTAATTGGTGATCGTATGTATGTACATTAGACTGCATCACCAAAAAAAGTTGCGGTTTTTCCGCCAGGATTACAAAATCTATAATATTTTAAGACGTCAGCCAAAATATTTCGGAAAAATATTAAGATTTAAGTGAGCTGGACCGTTTTGAAAATACCTCCAAAAATGGAGTTTTTTATGAATAAAAATAGTTTCTTAAAGAACTTTTTGAAAAAAGTCCTCTCAGAAGAAAAAACAGATTAAGCTTAAAAAATCTGCATACAAATATTTAAAAATTTTTTCAATGGAATAGTAAGAATGAGATTTTTGATGCTGTTTTTTTACTTTTTTCAAAGATTGATTTACACAAAACTTGAATAACTTGGCCAAAACTATTCTTATTTAGACTTATGGGATCTCGGTAGAAAGGTATTTTCACACTGTTTTTATTTCTGTCCAAATAAAAGTCATTCTTGTCCCATTTTTTTTTTCACATACCAACACAATCAACTTTGAATTACGTTCGTCCATCCTACCTTTCTCTTTCATCCTTTTAATGAGTTTGTTATCAAAGAAATGAAAAGGGTTAGAAAATACCTTTCCAATGACACCTCTTAAGTCTAAATCGGAAGACTTTAGGTTCAGTTATTCAATTTTTTCTTATACCAATCTTTGACATTCTAAAAACAGAATTATTAGCAAAAACCAACAATACCAACAACCACATGATCAAGTGAATTGCAGCGGAATAACTGCGCTTGATTGTGTTGGCATAACAAAAATGAAAATAGTGGAAAAAAGCAAACGATAATTTACAAGGCGTCCTTAGCACGGTGCATAGGTAACTGGCTGAGTCAGTGGGATCGTCGGTTCGAATCCTACTGAAAGAAGTCTGATGAGGAAATGTGGTGATATCCGAAATAGCTAACACTTCTACCATTTTTTCAAATTATTGTTGCTTTTCTGCAATAAATTTTCGTTTAAAAACGGCCTCGAGCTCAATATAAATTGTTGAATATAATTGTTATAAAAGGCCAAAAAAATAACAAAAAAAAATAACTTAAGAACGAGCACACCTAAAAGTTAAACATTCTAAAAATAGAATTATTAGCAAAAACCACCAATACCAACAACCACATGATCAAGTGAGTTGCAGCGGAATAGCTGCGCTTGATTGTGTTGGCATAACAAAAATGAAAATAGTGGAAAGAAGCAAACGATAATTTACAAGGCGTACTTAGCACGGTGCATAGGCAACTGGCTGAGTCAGTGGGATCGTCGGTTCGAATCCTACTGAAAGAAGTCTGATGAGGAAATGTGGTGATTTCCGAAATAGCTATCACTTCTACCATTTTTTCAAATTATTGTTGCTTTTCCACAATAAATTTTCGTTTAAAAACGGCCTCGAGCTCAATATAAATTGTTGAATATAATTGTTATAAAAGGCCAAAAAAATAACAAAAACAAATAACTTAAGGCCGAGCACACCTAAAAGTTAAACATTCTAAAAATATAATTATTAGCAAAAACCACCAATACCAACAACCACATGATCAAGTGAGTTGCAGCGGAATAGCTGCGCTTGATTGTGTTGGCATAACAAAAATGAAAATAGTGGAAAAAAGCAAACGATAATTTACAAGGCGTACTTAGCACGGTGCATAGGCAACTGGCTGAGTCA